ATCTGATTTTTTTTTCCCCTGAGGCAGTGAAAAAATGTGGTAGGGCAAGGACTCTGTACTCCCCTCCCTGAGCTGGAATACCCAGTTGGCCTCGGACTTGGTGTCTGTGTGATTTCAGGCAGCTTCATCTATTTCCCTGTGCCTCCACCTGTTCATCTGAAAAATGGGAAATTTAATCATCTCAGAGGGTTCATCGGCAGAATTAATTTACAAAAAGATTTGGGGACAGCAAGTGTGGTGGCCCACGCCTGTCATCCCAGCAGCTTGCAAAGCTGAGGCAGGAGGATGGTGAGTTCAAAGCCAGCCTCAGCAAAGGCGAGGCCCTAAGCAACTCAGGGAGACCCTGTCTCTAAATAAAATTTAAAAAATAGGGCTGGGGATGGGGCTCAGTGGTTGAGTATCCCTGGGTTCCATCCCTAGTTCTCAAAAACAAAACAAGAAAAAACAATCTGGGGACAATGCTTACTCAACAATATATACATAGTATATATTTCTTTTTTTTTTTTTTTGGTCTTCTTGTTTCTTCTCTGTGTGTATATGTTTAAGTGCACTTAAAGGTTTTATCTGTGTGCTATCTCTGTGAAGACAGGAGGTAGCCATTCTCATCAACCATTTTAACTTTAGGACCCAGCCCAGGCCTTGAGGCATATAAATGGGGTATTTTTTTTTTTTTTTGGATGTTTGGTGGATGAATAAATGAATAGTTGATGAGGAGGCTCGGGGCGGTGGCCCTGCCTTCCCTTRTAATGAAGCAAACTGATCTGAAACGGTATCTGCAATGAAATACTRCAGAGGGCAGGATCAAAAAGTCTGAATCTAGACTCACTTGTATCCTCAATGTTTATCTTTTCCTTGGTGAAGTTCTATAGGATAAGAGCCTCCACGAAAATACAGCTTAGTGGAATCATAGGTTTCTTCCAACACACCCCGCTCCTTTTCTCCAGGATGACATTTGAAGCAGCATTGACAGATGCGATGTAGTCTCACACAAGAACAGGGTCATTCATTAACATGCACACGAAAGGGAGAGGTTCACGTTCAACCTTTACCACCAGAGTCCTTGAGAAGGAAAAGAAATTCTAAGCAGCTACAGGTGATTTTCAAAGCCATGCTGGTTTTATCACTCAAGGAGGCCGGGGTTATAACAGGGCCCTTTGGCTACGAAATACCTGCTGTACTTGCGGCAGGGTTGAGTTTGCACAGGGGAAGAAGGAAGAGCTTCAATGAGGACCCGCCTGACCCTTTGGAAGGAAGATTTCTCTGCTGAAGAGCTAAAAGGGGCTTTTGTAGTCAGACAGTCCAAAACATACGTTTACAAATCCCAGAGATGTGAATGGCTCGACCTAGTTTGTTGAAGACAGATTTAAGATGATATTGCATAATAGGGATTTTCTTTTTTAATGCATGGGCCACATTTCAGGATGGTTTTATGATGGGATGATTCATGACCAGGCAGAGCGTTAGAGGCTGTTTCTAAAAGAAACTCAGAGCGTGCTTTTGGATGGCCAAACACCGGGCTGGATGTTACAAACAAAAGCCCTCGATTACCTACAGGAATGTGTCTGCCATCTCTCCCATGGACAAGGCAGAGTCTAGAAGACTGTTCACAAGTCCGTTGGTTCTGAAGGTCAAAGTGACATTATACAATAAAGTCCCCAGGTGCAAAGCGGAGGAATCAAACATTTTCATTTTGATGCATACCTTGTTCTTATCTGGGGAAGTTTGGATAAGGGGGTGGGGTTTCTGGACCCGATTTTTCCTATCAATATGTAGATCAAGTAGCTCACATCAAATGTCTCCTGTTGGTCTTACTTTGGGTTGCTTAGAAGAGAAACACGAAGCAAGGATTTCTGTGCCTGAATGAATTCTCTCAGGAGAAAGGCAGACATAGAGACAGGATAAAGGGAGGAAAAAGACCTAGTAGGAAGTTTTCTCAGCTGCCTTGACCCCATGGGGGACTGAGGCATGAAATACAGAGATGGCGATGGGCACACACCACTCATCAGGAAATCTGGGTAGGRCACTAACAGCACCCACCCCATGGCTCATTGGGAACCTTGGTGTCTTATAAATCTGGTTTATTATTTAGAAAATTAGGGTCCCTTTAACCATTGAAATAATGGGAAAAAAAGCCTCCCAGGATTTGGGCAGGATTTGAGAGGGATTCACTACTATAACATGAAGGGTATGAGTGAGAATCTAAACTCTCTATTTTAATATTATTTTAGTTGTTGATAGACCTTTATTGATTTATTTTTATGTGGTGCTCATAATTGAACCCAGTGCCTCACCTATGCTAGGCCAGCACTTTACCACGGAGCCACAACACCAGTCCCCAGTCCCCTGAACTCATTTTTTTTTTTTAATACTCAAGATTCAACTTGGTCTCTAACACCATCCTTTAAGAAAGCCCCAATCTCAGGGCTTCTTGGGCTTTCTAAAATGAAAAAAAAAATAGGAACAAGGATCATATCTGCCTCCTGTGACTGGTGGCTTGCCACTTCAGTTCAAGAGAAGGATTTTTAGAAGCATCTAGAAATCTTGAAATCAAGACAACACAAAAGTGGGCAGGAGAAAGACTCAGAATGCAAACTGGAAGAGTTTTCTGAGAAAGTGTAGCCGTTTGAAATATGGCGGTCTTTGACCCAGTGGAGAGACATAATAAAAAGGAGAATCAGAGATGTCCCCTCCCTGGCGTCCACATGAATCAGGAACCTCGCCTTCAGCCTCTCTGTTAATCAGTGTCCCTGTTCTGCACGGTGGTCAGGCTGCGGTTCTCAATCTGTAGTTTCTGAGCAGAGGTTTAATATGGTAAAAAACTGGTCTTATCTTATTCTATTAGATCTGGTGATAGAAAGGGAATTTGAATGGAGAGCTGTCTGCTTAAAAAAAAAAAATTCCCAGAATTTGCCCAACATGGTAATTCCACCAAGACCTGAAGAGCAAAACAATCACTGCCGAGAAGTGAGAGAAGATACTGAGGAATGAAAACCCAGAGGACCACACAGGCCCTTAGAAGTGACCATTCAGATTCTACTTTTTCTCTTGGCAGTGCAGCAGATCTCTCCCTGGACATACCAGGAAACATTTTAGACATGAATGTGGTGGTTCTTCTTTGGGTTTTTCAAATGTCAGTTTTAGCCCAAGATCCTTTAACTGTGCAGAAAGATCGCTGGGTGCATTAGGCCCAGTGGGCCCCTTGACTCTCTGCATTAATATAATAGTAATGGAAACACTCTAAGGATCAACCGTCATATGCTTTTCGCCCCCAAATGGGGAAAAAAAAAGTTCATGAACTGTTAGGAAAGTCAGCAGTGACAGAAAAATTGATCTCCCTCATTCATCCAAATGAAATCAATCAATTTCTTCCTAATTTAACCTTTCCTTTTTTTACAAAAGACATAGTATGTTTTTAACTAGCCAAACTTCTATTTGCATATAAAACTAGAGAATTTTTAAGGTATTTTTTTAAAAGTGGGGAACAATTAAGAGGAAAGAAATGTATTGCCATATAAAGTACCGTGCCTTAACTTTCAGTGTAGATATTTCGTTGTTTTCCAGAATGAATGGAATCCATCACTCTAGATAAACTGGGAGGAGAGAGACTAAATACGATAAGGCTGTCTGAATTTTCCTCGCCAGAAAGTCAAATTTATTATTACGAACACTGATTGAAATCATGTGGCCCTTTTAGGGGCATCTCTTTTCTAAGCGAGAGAAACAAATAATTACTGTGGCAGAATCATTCAAGTCTCTGGAGCTATCATTTATGTCTGCAACATAAGTGTATTATTATGCTCCCTATTATTTTTCCAAATGATGATCTTAGCTAAAATGCAGAAGTCAGTTATTATAATTGTCTTCACCCCCAAGTTCAAACCAGCCACCAGCTTTTGTCTGCCCATACTACGTTTATGTCCACGCTTCTGTACTTCCTCTTTTTTTCCACAGAGGCAAACATATTCAGATATATTAGCAAAATGTATGTTCCTGTGCGTTATTTGTGTGAGCATGTGATTTACATGTACATGTTTTATTTATGCTTTACATGTTTACGGATGTTCACTTGCATATATATATATATTTAAAAGCAGAAATGAGGTTAATCCCAAAGGAGAAGCATACAAAGACCCCTGGGCAACATGAGATTTGCAACATGAGATTTGCAAACAGAAACAGAATCAACTACTCATTCCTACGTCTACAGATGACTACAGTAGTTCTGCTCATCGCTGTGAGCCCTCAAAGAGTAGCAGCTAACACTTTGGCTCCCAGATACATCCTCAGACATAGGGGAGCTAGGAAAGATAAAAAAAGAAAGAAATGGGAACTTCCTACTTGGTCCTCATCCACAGATATAATTACTCTGCAACAAGGCTTGCACTGTATCCAATATGAAACATTTTAGTCCCTGGAAACATTATATAAAAAGAATATAAGAAGCAGTCTGTCTATTGTTCATCTGCTAATGTCCCCAAATGTCACCTAGGTAATTACTTGGATGACATTTATGTGATGCAGCTGGACATTGTTACAGTTAATATAAAGCCTGCCTTTGGCAACCACTTTATTTCCACCTACATCACCCTGTGGGCGTATGATGGCTTTTCCTGGATCACCCGCCTCCCCCAAATGATACCTCTGCCCTCTGTGTTTTCCTCTCATGCTCTGCACACCAATAGCCAACATAAAAGAAAAGATTTTTTTAAAAGGACAATATGATATATCTTTTTCTTGATATTTATATTTAGAACTTTTAGAGATGATTCTAAAAATCGTTTATCAAATATTATTATACTGATGTTTTCTTTCTTTTAAACAGGTTTATATCATCCTCAGAAGCCTAAATTTACAAAACATACATTTTTTTATGTCCAAAAAAACCAAATTTCTTCTCCAAGGGAAAATTCTTAGCAAAGTTGGATTGTTCACCCAGTATGCATATCAAAAAATATATATTTTCAGAAACACAGGAGTCAACATTTTTCCCCCAAACTCACATGCAAACTGAAGCTTTGCCTTCCGACTCAGAATGGTCCCCAGAAGATTGGTGGCCAGGCACTGGTACGTGCCAGCGTCTTGATCTGTGCGGGGGCTGCTGATGGCCAAGCTGCCTCCGTCTAACTTGTAGTGATAACTCATGGCAAAATCAATCTCTCTGCCATTTTGATTCCACCTTTAAGGAAAATGAAAAAAAAGATGATCAAATGGCATTTATAATTTGCAGGGTTCACTGCTAATTTTTCTTAAATGACATGCAGTTTTAATTCCTGCAATTATATAAAAAATATATTGTATGTTTACTAGTGGAGATCATCTGACCAACTCCCCTTAAGTTGTCTGTCTTGAGCCCAGTGATACCAACAGGGAGGTTATTTGAAAGCTCTTAGACTCTTGGAAAGAGTTAGATACATTCATCCCCATGTACATAGAGAGTCAAGAGAACCACTGACATAAGAAATATAAATTAGACATTCAGTCAATAATGCTGGCCATCCTAATCCTTTAGAGACTTTTCCAAAAAACATCTATCCATACCTGAACTCCCCCAAATTGCTACTGCAAAATTGGATGTCAGAAATGATTTAGAGATGGAAATCCATAAAGATTATATTACAAATGAYGCACAGAATACCAGCAAAGATTTTGCAATGCCAATTTGAGGCTGATAACAAAACAATTATAACCTGACGATCCCAGAATATCATTGTCCGTTAGCCTGTTACTTGGAAAATTAATCACGTTGAAAATGTTTCAGCAGTACTTAGGAATGCCAACCTAAAATTATATGTTAGCAACGCAAATGCAGMGTGAGTCGTTTTTATTTTAGGAAGCAAAAAGTCTCTTGGTGTAGCTATTAGACAAGAATTCCATAGTATATGAATTAATTAGATGAAGGGTGTAAATGTATTATTTATTTTCCAAGAAGCATAAATAGTTTAAAAATKCCATTTGGTCATTTTTCAGACGAATGAATACCCATCTCCAGCCAGATTCATTCCCCTGACCTTGCACCTCCTAATTCCCTCAAAACCTTCAAGTGTGTTGAAAAAATGAGTATTGCATACTTCATGTGGTACATTCTCAGGGCACAAGTTGTGTGCAATAATTTACCCCATTTAAGAAAATCATTTGAAAATAGTGAATTGTGACAACTAGTGGCCAGGCGGGAGAAAACTCATTTCCTATTGTTTGGGATCTTCGTGACTGAGACCTTTATTACAAAAGACAGTTTAAAAAGAGAAAAAACTTGCAGATTTGTTGAAGCTAACTCCTCTTCCCCAATACAGAATCCTTCAGGAGCAAGGATCCCAAACCACAGATAAAACTATATATGTGTATGCTGGTCTTTTTTTTTTTCCTTCTAATTTAATTTTTGGTATGGGAGATTGAACTCAGAAGCACTTACCCACTGAGCCACACTCCCAGCCCTTTTTAATATTTTATTTAGAGACAGAGTTTCCCTGAGTTGCTAAGTGCTTCGCTAATCTGCTGAGTCTGGCTTTAGAACTTGCAATCCTCCTGCCTYAGGCTCCCGAGTTGCTGGGATTAGAGTCTTGTGTGCTGGTCTTGATCAGGAGTGGACACTTATTAGGAAGGATARATGGACAAAGGGAGTTCTAAATCGGGGGCATCCTAGGCCTGTCTGTTAGATTCTCATTGGTGTCTCTGAGTTTGGGGATAGGACACTCCTTTCCTCTGGGTATAGAAAAGGTCCCTTTGGGATAAAGTTTTTTGACCTAGTTCAGGGATGAAGAAGTGACCTTCCACTATTTCATGTCACAGTGCCATATTTTGGGGCCATGGGTCCTCTACTCCATCACAGTCATTTAGAAAAAACAGAGAATGCTTTTCTTGGTCCTATGCACTAGGGCCCATCACCCAACTCTTCTTTTTAGGGTCCACACCAGCTTTGCTATGATTCTTGCCTTCATAATGAAATCACATTAAAATGTTTTGGTGGGGATGGCTAATTCTAAGAAAGGAATGACATTTTACAGGATGATTTCAAAATGTCATCGGCTTTTTTTTTTTTTTTTTGGCGCATTCTGAAACACCCCATGGAGAGAATATGACACATGTCTCCAGAATTAGAAAGGAAATATGAACTTGGGGAGTCCTCTATCCTATTAAAGACAGGATCAAATATCAAATCGATGAGAGGTTTTGAACCAACGCTGTCATTCTTAAATTACTTGGCCACTTCCTGTGTACTTCAACTTCTCTTTAATGAAAGGAGGCTGAAAGACAGTAGAAATGGATGGATTTTCTGCCAGTTTGATTGTTTTCTCTCTCTTTCTCCTCCCTTCCTTATTTTCTTTCTTTTCTTTTCTTTTCCTTCCTTCCCTCCTCCATTCCTTCTTTCTTTCTCCTACAGAGATCGTACGGAATGCTTCTTGTTCTCCATATTAGGAAAGAGGAAAAAAAAAATGAAGCTTTTCTTTCTGTAGACCTGTCTCAAGAGGCCCATATTCTCCTTCGGAGCTATAATACCATCTTTCATAATTTGCTTACAGGGCATGATCTTTGTGCTGCCAGGTTCCCCTTATCATTTCCAAAGCAAAGGATATACCATACTTAGTTTGCCAGCTCTCTTTAATTTTGGAATCAATCACCGAAATAACTGCTGTCATCATTACATGCTCCTAATTAAGCTCAGTAATTGTTTTTTCAACACAAATTCAAAGTTGTTGGCTTAGCGGCAGAAAATGAATTTTTTCACAAGTATCCCGTGATCGTTCTAATCACAATGGTGCAATGATTATTAAACTGTGCATGTAGATCAGGGGTTCAACTCCCGGTGTGGGCTCTGTCCTCATTAATATGTTCTAACCAATGGAGAAATAGCATTTGTGGATTCAAGTGATGGTCCCGCAATGTTACTGATGTCACAGCTTCCCCAGGAGTATTTTCCTAGGATGAAAATGAGGAAATATGTTCTAATGAATGATTTGAAGCCCACGAGTTAGCATTGGATTAATCGCAGGCAACGTCATGAATTTGAAGTAAAATCTTAACCTTTTGCCCTGGCACATCCTTCACTATGAAGTTGTTAAGCCTCATGTTAAGAATGTAAGGAGTGGCAGCTGTGTTTGTTGTGTCTTGCATAATGCATGCCCCCTGACTGTGTATGGAGATGATCGAAATAGAAAGTCTGAGCGACGACTCTAATGGGTTTGACTCCAACATCCAGGGCTCATGGGGAATGAAAGATGACTTAATGATAAAGAGAAGCAACAGAGAATCGCAGAGAGGAGTACCTTTGGTGATCAGGCCAATGGTGAGGTGTCAGAAATCTGATAATATTCAAGGTCCTTTTCCTGAAAGAGAGTCTATACTATATAAAAATCGAATCCTGTACAGAAATGTTTCATTTTCCCAGATCAAATACTAGGAACTAAGTTCGTGGCTAGTGCATATTCTTAGACTTTCTAGGCATAAAAATGCCTACCCAAGTATCATCTTTGGATAACCCACTTTTCTTCCCTTTGCTAAGCTTCCTGGATAGATTTCATCTTCTCCGACATTACCTGGTCTTGGAAAGAATCCAGGTAACCCTTTCTCATGAGGTAAACATCTCCACCAGACTTGCCTAATGTTTCTATATCTCTTTGTTTTCAACCACCTCCTGTTGGTGGAGATGTTTATCTCACTGAGAGTGACTGTAGACAAAATTGCTTTTCAACTGTTTCCAAAGTTCTGCTTTTAAATACTGTTATTTTCCCCCATGAGCTTTCATATCTATACTGAATCAACTTAAAAAAAATTTTAACTCCTTTAAGAAGAGCTAGAAACTAGTGAAAGAATTTACATTTGGCACCATGCTACTGTTTAAGGAAAAACAAAAATCTTTCGAAGCAATAGATTTCACTGTATTTTTTTTTTCTTTTTCAAAACTGCTATGCTCGACTGGGGATGGTGGTGCACACCTGTCATCCCAACCACCCAGGAGGCTGAAGCAGGAGGATTGCAATCTGGAGGCCAGTCTAGGCAACTGAGGAAGATTCTGTGCCAAAATAATAAAATAAAATAAAAAGGAGTGGAGATATAGTTCAGAGGCAGAATCCTTGCCTAGCAAGCATGAGACCCTGGACCCAGCAACACCAATCATTAGGCAAGCAAGCAAGCAAGCAATTTGGGAAAGCATTATGAAATCTGATCAGAAAGCTGGCTACACAGGACAGGAGTGATTATTCCAAGCTCACGCATGGAATGACAGTGGTGACTAGCTTAGTTCTAAGTCACTGCCTCTTTGTAGAGCTTCAACCTGTCAAAATCTGTGATGGTCAACTTCTTCCAATGTACACACTCACCTCTCCACACATAATCTAAGATGAATACAAGTGAGCTTTCTTAAAATCTGAATTTAAAAGGGTCATTTTAAAACTAAAATTTCCATTGCGAATGCACGTTATCTGAAATACTTCTGCCCTTTGCTTGGTTATCCATAAAAATATCCTAAAAATTTAATTATTTTTTCTCACTCTCTTTCTAAGTCTCTTGCCTATGAGTATTTTCTAATAATATTAGAGATCAGCTTAGCCAGTTTAAGGAGATTAGAAATAAGATGCTAACATTGCCTGTCTTTTAGCTTTGTAATTTACACACACCTTARGAACACAGGCCAATTAACAATAGAATTTCTAGTCTTTTTATCTTTTTATTTCTTTATCGATGTACTAATTTGCAAACTGTCTCCAGAACCACTGTTTTGTATCCTTCTACCTATTATAAGTCAATAAATATTTTACAAGTACATGATTTATTTATCATATATTTAGCAAACTTTTAAAAGAATTTATAGGGATTCATATTTTTTTCTTTCTCTAGAAAACCTTACCAACTCCTATAATCAGTTAAATTCGCTTCCCCAAAATTAAAATGACAACTTTAAATGTTAGGAGATCATAAAAATGCATGCAGAAGGTTTTTAGATTATTTGAAGTTATGTTGGATAAGACAGTTCATTACTGAAACAAACAAACAAACAAACAAAAAACACTGAATTGAGTGAAACAGTAAAGTAATTGTTCTTTCCCTAACCTTTGGATTGCATTGGTTTGAGAATCTCAGAGAGGGGAATCTTAATAAGTAGAATGAAGTTTTCAGTCTTCGGTTATAATAAGATACTAAAATTAGCTCCACAAAATATAAGATAAAAATTCCTTTAACTTTGGGCATGTGAGTCATTTAGTTAATTAATTTAGACTAATTTCAGAGCAAAATAATAATGCTTATATAGACTCTATTTTTACTGCAACCTAAACATTCCAAAAATAAGCTTATTTTCTCAAAATGTACTAAGATGTTTACTTTCTGTCAATGTCAACTCCACATCTAAAACTGAAAACTTTTGGAAAATGCTTTTACAACCCAGATTGCAAGTCATTTTTAATATTTTTTTGTGTTGTTTCCTGTGTTCACACTGTACTCAGCTCTTACCAGCAAAATATCCTTATGTTCTGCACAAGTAWAATTGATACATGTATATACATCATTAAATTCGTGCATCCTATACACAGTATGAATCAAATTCTACCTGGATGAATAAAACTGTAAACATTGCTGATCCTCCTTCCCTATTATTTCTCAGGAAAGATGTCAGAGACAAATACATTTTTTTCCTATTTGTCCACAACACAAATCCTCTTTCTGCCTTTCAAGATATTTAGCTGTCTTCAACATCTATCTTTCTACAATCAATAATTGGGTGATGTGATCCAGTACTGAAGTTAGAGAAATTTATTTGCTAAGAGAAGTTTAAATTTCCATTTTATTTATTTATTTTTCAAGCATATAAAGCAGGGTTTATTAGAAGGAGTAACATAGACTTCTCCTTGGAGAGAGAAGGGAGCCATAGCTGATATCCTGGTATCTCCTAAATTTTCATTTTAGTTCATTCCTTTTAGGGGGTCATTTTTATAGTCATTGTATATGGGGAACTGGSACAATAGTCTCAGGTTGGTGTGAGACCGGGAATGCTTGCATTTTAGTGTTTCACATTGAGGTATAAAGATCTTTCCTTCCTGTATTTTCTCTTTTTATTTCTTTCCTGTTTTTTTTTTTTCTGTATTTTTTTCTTGCAGTATTTCCATTCTCTGTTCTYGCTTCATACCTATTTCTACCTTGGCCTGTCTCTCTGAATTCTAACCACTGGCTCTGCACAGAATAAGTGCTGCAAGCAAACCTATTCAATAAGACAGACACAGGGCAGTGGTCCCCTGGAGGTGGGGGTGGGTGGGGATAATTAGTGCCTGGTAAGTGGCATGAGGAAACACTCTGGGGAACGCAAAGTGTCTGCATCTTTAACCAAGGGATGATTAGAGCTGTACAGCTGTAGAAAAAGTATTGAGGGGTGTGCTTGATGGGGTTCAAGTGTACCACTTTACTGCACATTTTATATCCATGAGAAGAAGAGAAAGGAGAGGTACTAGGCGGTAGGATTTTTACCTATAATGGGGTGAAGGGTAACCATTAGCAGCACAATTCAGGATGATCTCAGATCTTGATAAATCCAAAGGAAAAATGACATCTTGTGGCTCCTCGATAAAAGTAGGTGGGATCCAAGGACCATCACCTGAGAATAAAAAGAAGAGCATGACCTCAGGAGCAGGCTTGAGCCTCTATGAAGTGTCCAGTCTCCACACCGTGTTACAATGTTTCACTTGGTAACAGCCTCACTGCTTACAGAAAGTGTTGGAAGGATGATGTGTACAAACCTTTATTTCTGAACCATGTATAGTAATTTTGGTTTCACCCCGAATTATCTGTATTTCCCACAACCAAAAGGCGTCCATCTACATAACCACAATAAATCTCACAGCAGCAAGAAGTCAATGTTGATTCAGGACTAACTGCCAATACTTGGGACCCATGTATCTATTTTCTTATCAAAATTTTATGTATATTTAAAATTTACTTTTATATATAACTATTCTCCTAAAATGGAATTAATTAAAATTTATATCATATAATTATATATATTTATATTATATGATATAAAGATGTTATATAGTATATATATATATGTGTGTGTGTGTATATATATATATATATATATATATATATATATATATATTTAAATTTATACTGGGAATTGAATACAAGGGTGCTTTTACCACAGAGCCCCATCCTCAGCCCTTTTTATTTTTTATTTTGAGCCAGAATCTCAGTAAGTTGCTGAAGCCATTCTTAAACATGCTGTTTTGCCTTCTGGGTTGCTGGGATTCCTGGCCTTAATAGATTTTTTTTTTTTTTTTGATGGGGAGGAGGCTACTAGGGATTGAACTCAGGGGCACAAAACCACTGAGCCCCATCCCCAGCCCTATTTTGTACTTTATTTAGAGTCAGGGTCTCACTGAGTTGCTTGGCAAGCCCCGCCCTTGCTGAGACTGGCTTTGAACTTGAGATCCTCCTGCCTCAGCCACCTTAGCAGCTGATTGACAGGCACGCACCACCACAGCTAGCCAAACACTGATTTTTTTTAAATATCTATGTTTTAGTTATAGGTGGACACAACATCTTTATTTCATTTTTATGCGTTGCTGAGGTCTGAACCCTGGGCCTCACGTGTGCTAGGCAAGCGCTTTACCACTGAGCCGCCACCAGCCTCCCCCTCAACACTGAAATTTTTATGTACCTATTTCTGTCATATGACCTGCTCGGTCCATGTGCCTCCACAGTCTCTCATTTTATGAAATGAGTCATAATCCATTGTCATTTATGTGGATGCCCAATCATTGCTGATTTGGCYGGCAGGAGCCTGTTCAAGCCAGCTTCTTTGTCCTTGTCCTTATTTATTCCTTGGACTGTTATTTACTTTATGATATAAACCGGTTTTAGGATAATCTTGTATTTCCTCTCTCCCCAGCCATGGAAGTAGCTATTTTTTTTTTTCTCCCTAAGCACACCTGGCTCCATGTATTAGAGAATGGTATTTAGAAGCCGTAATCGGGACACGGAGTTTACTCATTGTGACTGCTCTCTGTTGGCTCTGAGGTCCCCTCAGTAGCTGTGTGTGTGTGTGTGTGTGTGTGTGTAGTGATCGACAGCGAGGTGTGTGTGTGTGTGTGGTGTGTGTATGTAGTGATCGACAGCGAGGTGTGTGTGTGTGTGTGTGTGTGTGTATGTAGTGATTGACAGCGAGGTGTGTGTGTGTGTGTGTGTGTGTGTGTGTATGTAGTGATTGACAGCGAGGTGTGTGTGTGTGTGTGTGTGTGTATGTAGTGATCGACAGCGAGTTTATTCTAGATTCTTCTCTGTCCACATTGTGACTCCCTGTTCAGTCGATGAGGACACTGGATCCCATTATTGCCAATAAACTTCTGCATTTCTTCAATCCCCCTCTGGCCAATCAAGTCTCTGTCACCTCCCTCTTCTCCCTGGGCATGATCTGATACTCACTTTCACCTGCACCCACACTTGCTGAGCTGTTTCCTCCCTCCTGTGGAGAAGCCCTTCTGACCCCCCCACCTGGGCTGTGACACAGGCATAGCCCCCATTCCAAAGTGGGTGAGGACCTAGCGCCTCAGCTGCGATGTCCCCTTCACCACGGAGACTGCCCTCCTTCTGCTTGGCTCTGCATCCCCTCCTCAGCCTCTGACATTCTTTGCCCGGACACCTCAGTCTGGGCCACAATGCCCTACGCCATGCCCTACATGAATGTCATTGTCACATCTTGCAGGCCTCCACTGATCCTGCTGTGGCTCTGACATAGATGGGTGGCTTCTTGGCTATACTTGGACTGACATGGTGGGAAGGAAAGGGAAAGGGAAAAAGAAAGACCTCAATACTTTTTTTTTAAACATAAAATTAGGTGTTTCTATGTGCAATCGTATAACATAAACCATAGTGTGACATTAGCATTAGTATTTGCAGGACACTGAATGGCGGGTCAAGACACGGTCATTTTCCCTGATATCAACCAGAGGGCCAGAGAATGTCAAAGCCAGAAAGAGTTTTGTAGACCGTTCAAGACACACATTTTAGTTTGGAAAGACAGCAGAACCGGCGGTTAAAAGCCTGTATCCTGAACTCCTAGAGGCCTCGGAGGATTGGAACAAGTTGTCTTCATGGGTAAAATAGATGTATTATTTATATCAGATAGCTGTTTTGAGATTCATTGTTATAAAAGTCGGTCGCATTATGCATAGTACCAATAAATGGAGAGTCATCAAATGATGGCAGTCATCATCAYCATCATTATCCTTATTATTATTACAGACAGGGAAATTGAAATCCAGGAATTTGAATTATCTCTTCCCAATTTATCATCAGAAATTAAATTTAGGTCTCCATATTCTCTCTCCGCTGTCTTTCCCACACACTTACTACTCTTACGTTGGATCCATTTCCATTAATCTTCCAAAATATTTGTACCCAGGTAAAATGAATTATTTTATTAGACTCATTTGAAATTGTAATATCAGTAGATTCCATTATTGGCCCAGAAGTCTATGGAGATAAAAGTTTTAATTCCAAGCTAGTTTAGTTATTAGCTCCACAGTGCTGGGCAAGGGGCTTAACCACTCTGATCCCCTGGTTTCTCCTCTGTTAAGTGGCAATACTAGGTCTTACCTATCAGTGTTGCTGCAAAGGCTGAAGGAGAAAGAGCAGAGTGAAGATGGATTGCAGGATTCTTTACTCCTAGACCTAACACAAGGCATGATAAATACAGACAACCAACAGAAATCAACAATCTTTGAACAAGAAAAGGGACATACCCCAATGTTATCGATTTACAAATAATAATAATAATAATAATAAAGAAAAACACAGCAAAAAAATTGGGTAAGAAGAACAGGGGTGGCCTGTCAAAAAAGTGGAAAATTCTCTACGCCAGATCTTGCCCCCACCCCTGTAAGCATTACTGGTGAAATAGCAATATTCTGGTGGAAGTCTTGCTGCGATCTCTAGGTTGGAGGATCAGAGATTGGAATGCATAGGGGATGTAAATTCTTATTTTTTCCCCTTCTTCTTGCAGAATGGTAGAAAAACAGGGATTCTGGAGAGAAAAAGGGTATAGTGAAAAATTGTGAATAGTAATGTTGACACCACTGCAGAGGTATCTCCCAGGGACACACACCTGAGGCCCCTTCACCAATAATCTTTCTATAAGCCATTGAAAGATTCTCAAAATACAGAGAAGCAGTGGGGATTCCTTCCATCCTTCGCTCAGATTACAAAACGTGGTTCTGATGACCCAGTAGCTGTTCTCCAAGCTAGAAATAAGAAGGAGAAAACAGTCCTAGGTGTTATGGAAGGGAAGTTATAGACCTGCCRTGAAGGTATCAATAAAATTTCTGTACACAGCTCTTCAAGGATAAACCATAGGAAGAGAGAGGGAATTGTAACTAAGCAAATCCACAGCAACAATAAAAAGGAAAACATGGAAAGCCAAGGATAGACAAATTACCTGATCTAGAATAAAACATTACTCAAGGAAAGCTAGGAAATGTAAAGTTTTTCCATGCTGTAGAATAAGAACATGTGGTTTTTCTTTTGGGGTCGGGGGTAATCAGACATTAAACTCGAGGGTACTAGACTACTGAGCCACCTCCCCAGCCCTATTTTGTATTTTATCTAGAGACAGGGTCTCACTGAGTTGCTTAGCGCCTTGCTTTTGCTGAGGCTGGCTTTGAACTTGAGATCCTCCTGCCTCAGCCTCCTGAGCCACTGGGATCACAAACATGCACCACAGTATCTGGTGCAAGAACATGTATTTGTTTTTTTTAAATTTGTTTTCAGTTGTAGATTGACACAGTTTTATTTTATTTATTTTTATGTGGGTGCTGAGGATGGAACCCAGTGCCTCTCCCATGCTAGGCAAGCAATCCTAGCATCAACAAAAACCACGAACAACATAATTATATAAATTAGGTGGCTGAAAATATAAGAATAAAATTTGCAATGAAAGCATCATTAAAGAACTAGTAAATCAATAACAGGCAGGCAACAAAAGACATATACCCTGAAAGTGAAATTAGTGATGTAAAGATTTAAGGTAATTACAATTAATGCAGCACAAAAAAAGCACAGATAATAAAGCAATTGAGTGAAATGGAATGAGTAAGAAAGATAAAGATGCCCCCAAATAAAGACCTTGCTATCAGAGGGTTAGAGAATCAAACAAATGTCAGAAGATCAAACTTCCTGTAAACTAAAGGAGTATACTCCATGTTCCAGGAACACTTGAGGAAGAGATCACTCAGCACCAAGTAGGTGCTGGTGAAGGACTGGTCTTCAAGGTCAAAAAGAGATTTAACCTTGAACTTAGTGAAAGTGAAAATCATCCACAAGAGCAAAAGAAGATGCATCAGATGCATCTCAGATTTTAACCATTAGCATCCCATCCCAGAAACCAGTGGAGAAAAGCCTCAGATGTTTTTAATGATAAGGCAACATGAGTATTACCACCCACCAGGATGCATTTCAAAGATAACAGCATTGAAAAGACACTCTTGAATGTTAAAAAAATGATAATTATAAAAGATAACATGGGCCAGGCATGGTGGCCCACGCCTGTAAACCTAGTGGTTCAGGAGACTGAAGCAAGAGGATTTTGAGTTCAAAGCCA